ATCATTATTTTATAAAGTCCTTCTCCTGTTGCAGGCAATGAGTAATCCAAGAATAAATTAAAGAGTATGTTATTCATTTATTCACTGCTTTATACTTCACAGAATATTTTGAACCAGATTAATTTGTTCTATCTCAGCTACATTCCTGAGGCAGATGGAATGGATTTATCAAATGGTTTTTAGTGTCTTTTAAAGATAAAGAAACTATGACTTAGGGGTTTATGCAATTCACCAGAGCTCTCCTTACTAATAGATACAACTGACATTGAAGCCCATGTTTTCTGACTCTTTACCTTCTACGATTCATATTACACTAGTCATTTCATATCCCCATTGTAAAGTACATGCCTTAAAATTTTGAATATTGAGATAATCAGGAGAGATACAAATGCTATAAAATCTATTCAAAGGTAACCTTCAAAATACAGACTTTGAACGATACAGAAATAAAAGGTAAAATGTCTGTGACTAGCAAAAAAAAAAAGAAAGAAAAGAAAAAAGAAAAGCAAAAATGGAATGTTAAAGAGTAAATTGATCATAATAAAACATTGGTTCTGCTTAATAATGATAATAAACCTAATAGATAGGATTTTGCATAAGTATTAACAATTATGTGAGAGGAGATAGTATGCAAATACATATTAAAATTCTGCAATTAGAATTTCTATTATTTGTTTAACTAGAAAGTTAATGATTTCTTCAAATTACCTTATCTGAAGGTTTTTTTGTTCTTTCTTTTAGCTATGCTTTTTTGTCATTTTGTTAAATATGGAGGTCTCTTGTTTTTTAACTATACTTTGTCATGATATTAAAATGATGATTACCATTATTATTTTAGAAAGTCATGACCAATTCTGGACTGGAGGAGGGATAAGATTTGATTTTGATCTCACTAGCTCTATTTCCTTATTTTTGAAACAGTAGGTAAAGTAAACAACAGTATCTCACATCCTCCAAAAATCTCTTATAAATAAAATTTACTGGAGAAAAAAAATTCAATTTTTATTGGCAACTAGAATCAGAACGTAAAACAGCTTAGAAGGGGAAAAAAATCTTCCCTATTTATATAGCTATGTTTAGATATAGAAATGCATTTATTAGCACTTGTAGGCTAGTGGCCTTGAGTGATTTCTGTTGACTATTCCCTGCTCTCAACTCTTTTTAGAGGCATAGATACAACAATGTTTTATACCATTTGTCTTATCAAGTCTTTGTACTTTTCTCAAGAATAGTCACATTTGGATTTTGCTTCTAGAAAAGATGTAAGGCACCATGGTGAACCAATACTCTTACAACTAGAAAAAAAAAAACCTGACAGATTATTACATATATGACAGAATTGTAATACTATAAAGTAATTGGCATATTTGACAGAGCATTGTATAGTATTAAAGATTCATTTAAGCAGAGTACTGGTGGCTCACAGCTGTAATTATAGCTACTTAGGAGACAGAAATCAGAAGGATTATGATTTGAGGTGAATTCAGGCAAAGAAGTTCATGAGACTTCATGTCAACCGATGCCTGGGCACAGTGGCACACACTGTCATCCGGTTTGTCAGATGAGATCAGAAGGACTAGTGATACTGGCCAGCCTGGGCATAAAAATTTGCAATCCCACATCTCAGCAGAACAATTGGGGCATGGTGGTGCATGCCTGGCAACCCAGTTATAGTAGAACAAGTACATAGGGGGTTTGCAGTCTAGATTAGTATGGGCAAAAAGTGAGAGTCTACCTTAAAAGCAACCAGGAACATGTTTATCTTTATAATAAGTTTTTCTAAAAGCTTTTTCTTTCATTGAAGTTTTATAGTTTCTCAAGAGATGTTTTTATAATTATACTTATTCCTAAGTCTCTGATACTTTTTGATGTTATTATAAATATTATCTTTTTTTATTTTCTAACTGTTTGGCATTGGAATATAGAAATTCAATTGATTTTATATATTGATCTTCATATCAAAAAACCTTGCAAAGCACTTATTAATATGTATAATTCATCAGAAGGCTACTTTGTATTTCCTATGTATATAGTGATAATCTGTAAATGATGTTAAGTTTCATCTCTTCCTTTCAATCCTTATCCTTTCTTTTACATTGTCAAGGTGATGTACAGAGGGATTACAGTTACATAAGTAAGGTAATGAGTACATTTCTTGCCAAACTTGTTAACCCTTCCCTCAATTTTCTCCTTTCTCTCCCTCCCCCAACACCCCTCTCAAGTTGTACAGATCATTTCCAACATATCGTCTCATGTATATCGCTGTTGTACTGGTTCCCTCTTGTCCTTTGTCTCGCCATTCTGTTGTTCCCCTTCCCTTCCCTAATTCAAATTCCTTATCCTTTTTTTTCTTGGTCTTGTCTTACTACACCTGCTTTGAACTTCCACGGCAAAGACAAATGGAAATACTAACAATTGGCCTCCTTGTCTCATGTCTGACTTTGAAAGGACACTTTTAGATATTACTTCCAAGAATATTTGCTGTACTTTCCATAAATATTCCTTATAGTAATGACCTACAAAATCTGTTTTGTAGTCCATTTTTATCATGAGTAAATGCTGATTTCTGTCACTTTGGGGGATGTCTATTAATATCTATTCTGATCATATGGTACATCATTATTTTTAATATTATAACATGGATTCCTGAAAAAATTCATTCCTTAAAATAAACCCTATTTGGCCATATTACATTTTCCTGACTCAGTTTTTAGTTTTCTCTGGTACTTACCACCACACTGAAAAGTAAGCTTGTCTCGTAGGCTTTCCTTTCTTACTTTATTCTTGCTGGGTTTTGTAAAAACTTATCAGGGTTTTTTTTAACCTTTTGTGAAATAACCTATGCAATAATTTTTTTCTTGAAACAACTGATACAACTTGCCATTAAACCAATATGACCTCTAATTCCTCTGAGTACACTTAATTATGCATTCAATTTCTCTAAGGTTATAGGACTGTTTCACCTTCTTTTTTTGCATCTGCTTTTTAAAGTTGTATTTTTCTAGAAATCTGTCCATTTCTCTTAAATTTTCATTTATTGGCAAAGTCAATCATAACATCCTCTTATCTGTATTATGCTCTTTCTGCTCAATGGAGCATTTGCTTTTCAGAAACTAATTTTGTCCTCTTTTGAAAACCACAATCATTAACACAGTGACAACTTGAGGTGGCCAAGTAGGTTCAGTAATCTGTAGTTGAAATTTTCTAAAGAAAAGATGGTTATGTTGGGATAGGCATAGTGGTACATTCCTGTAATCTCAGGAGGGTGCTGGAGATTGAAAGGATCAAAGTTCAAGGCCAGCTAGGTAAAAAGTTAGCTAGACCCTATCTCAATAAACCAGCTGTGGTGATGAATGTTTATAACCTTAACTACAAGGATAGAAAGATAATCATGGGCTGAGCCTTGTGAAAGTGTGAGAAGCTAAAGAATAACTGAAGACTAAAAAGAGCTGGGAGAGAGGCTCAAGTGGCAGAGTGCCTGCCTGGCAAACTCAAGGCCCTGAATTCCAGCTGCAAAAATGTTGTTCTAGTATTATCTATTCTAGTATTATCCCTATTTTTACTCTGGTAGTTCAGTTCAATTCAAATTCACCAATTCCTTAAATGAAGCTTTCAACAAGGACAAGATCCTTTCCCATCTAGATCCTTACTGCGTAAAGGGGGGACATTCTGATAATGCAACATTCTTAAAAGACAAGCCCTACTCTGCTCATGGTACAGAAACACAGAAGACAGGCACTCTTACTCTTCTGTTATGATTGAGTTTTAGGTGTTGGCAAGAATGGTAAAGTAGCACAAGTCCAGAAAGCAGAGAGAGTCAGAGATAATATCTTCAGTAGGTATGTTAGAGGGAAAGACCTTATATTACCTGATCTGCATTCTGAAGTTAGAAATAAAGACAGTTTCAGGTATTTATAATATTTGAAACTTCAACAATTTAGGATTATCTAAAAGAAACAACGTTCTACCAATTAACAAAATAAAAATGTGTTATTTATGGAAGTTTAAAAACCATAGGCTTGATGACATTTGAGCAGATTCTCTTGCTCAAAGTAAAGAAAAGAGTTTAGATTAATGTACAGACATGAAAATAAAACTAGGAAACTAGACGGGATGAGTAGGGTTGGAAAAGCTGGGGGCAGAATAATAATGGGGTGAAACTAATCAATATATATATACAATAGAATTCTATGCTTCCATCAGAAAGAATGACACCACCCCATTTGTTAGGAAATGAAAAAAAAATCATATTAAGTAAAGTAAGCCAGACCCAAAGAAATGTAGTTTCCCTCATTTGCAATAATAAACCCTCATGGTTTCCCTCATTTGCAATAATTAGTATATGTTGAGGATAATTTTATCAGATGAGCAGCAGGAAAGCTCTAAAGCTATGTATATATAACCATATAAGATGATGCCAAGCAAAATGAACCCCAAGATCTAGATATAAGAGATCTTTCTTTGTTGTTGTTGTTTTTAATGCACTATGTAATTTTTTTGTTTCTTTCATATGTTCTTCCCCCTATAGTATATCCCCTGTTGTCACTGTACTTGATTTTGGTATCCTGTATCTTGTATATACAGTTATCTAACTTGGAGAGGGAAAGGGGAATAACAAAATGCTGAAACAAGGACACAGGATGACCCATTGCAACAATGATACCCATAAGACACTATGCTGGAAATGAACTTTACAACTTTGGGGGGATGGGGAGGAGTGAGGGAGGTCAGGGAGGGAAGGGATAGTGGGAAAACAATAAAGGAGGTGGTAACAATGCTCCACAAGAAATTGTACTCATTACCTTACTCATGTAACTGTAGCCCCTCCATATAGCATCTTTACAATAAAATAAATTTTTTAAAAAGATGCATTGTACACATAAATTGGCCAGGGTGAATTTAAACTCCTTTGTACAACTATTTAAATATAAGAAAAAATAAATTTTAAAAAAGAAGAGAATTTCCCATCAGAGGTAGAGCCAAACACTCAAGTTCCTTACCTGTAGCAAGATGCCCCATAGGGGCATTCAGGCCGGCTATCAACCTCTTCTTCACCCACAACTTGTACATCTCCATAGTCGGCGTCACCAGGGTGGCTGAAGCATTGGAAATGGACAGGATTCTTCCTATGATGGTGACAAAGGACTACTGTAGATATCTAGTGGCTATGGCAGGTATCAAGCAATACACAACTGATTGTTTTAGAATAAGAACCCACACACTATGTTAATAATATAAAGTTGATGATATCTAGTCAATACAGGACTCTCACAGAAACTATAAATCTCTAGTGTCAAATGCTTTATAAGCACACATATGTCCATAATAAACACATAATAGAAATATCACCAACATATGTTTCTTAAAAAGTTTAAATAAAATACTTACATCTATGCACCATCTGCTAAGAAAATGAGCAGAACAAATCCTTTTAGAACTCTTCTACAACATCCCATGTGTCCTCTTAATCATTAAACCCATTTGACTACACAAAGCTCATTCTACTGTTCTAAAAGTATTTCTCAAACTCTTCAGTCCCAGGCCTCTTTCACAATCTTAAAATTCATGAAAATTTGGGATAGTGTTTGTTTATATGGGTTATTTTAGCTATTGGAAATATGTAAGGATGATAGTGGCACTGTGGCTCAAATGGTAGAGTGCTAGCCTTGAGCACAAAAAGGCTCAGGGACAGCACTCAGGCCCTGAGCTCAAACCCCACAACTGACAAAATAAAAATAAAAAAGAAGCTGGGCACCAGTTGCTCATGTTTATAATCCTAGCTACTAAGGAGGCTGAGATCTGAGGATCATGGTTCAAAACCATCCTGGGCAGGAAAGTCGGTGAGACTCTTATCTCCAATGAACCACCAGAAAACTGGAAGTGGTGCTGTGGCTCAAGTGGTAGAGCACTAGCTTTGAGCTGAAGAGCCTAGGGACAGCATTCAGGCCCAAAGTTCAAGCCCCACAACTGACAAAAAAGAAAAAGAAAAAAGAAAGTAAGTAATATATAAGGAGAGATTGGAAACATTTGTCCTATGGGTTGGAAATTTCAAGATAAGGACAGCATTTGGCAATTGCCTCCTGCTGAGATATAACTTGATGGAAGGAAGGCAAAAGTTGTTACAGATAAAACATGAGGTGTGGACCTACTGTATAACACCCCACTCTTATAGTACCAAGAAAGCAAGAATTTACTCGCGTGAGAAAGGCATTAGTTCATTCATGATAGGTTCCCTACTCCCATAACCCAATCATGTTTATGCTATTTTCAAATATTTTAATTTCATGTGTATTTTACATGCCATATAAATTATTATTGTTTACCCTAACCAAGATTAATTTCTATTTATACCATATTTTCCTCCTAGATGTCTAGGCTTTCATTTTCAGGGTCCTTCCTTCCTTCCTGAACATTGAACTCTTTTCTTATTGTCTAAGCCCCAAGACAAGAAGTTTGGCAAGTGACAAAGAGCAAAGAAGACTCATTGTCCTGGCTGCCTCTGGTGTTTTCAAATGTGAGGGCTCAGCACTCCTCATTCTCACTTGTCTTCAAGATACTTCACAATTACTAGAGGTGAAAACATAGTCATATCCTATTAACTCTGAAATGATTTGTGTGACCTTTCATAGATGAAAGTTATAGATCAAATTAAGGAATAAATATTTTATTCATTAGTAAGAAATAATTCCAATTTATATATTATTTTTAAGGTTTATTAAGGAAATATACAGCCTTAATAGAAAAACTGTATAACGCCAAAGAATAAACGTTTCAGAAAGATTTTTTTGTTTGGTTTTGTCAATTGTGGGGCCTGAACTCTGGGCCTGGGCGTTGTCCCTCAGCTCTTCAGCTCAAGGCTAGCGCTCTACCACTTGAGCCACAGCACCACTTCCGGCTTTTTTCTTTTTTGCTTATGTGGTGCTGAGGTACCGAACCCAGGGCCTCATGCATGCAGGGCAAGCGCTCTACCACTGAGCCACCTTCCCAGCCCCTTATTTTCCTTTTTTAAAAAATATAAGATGACTATTTCATACAGGCCAGACTTGAACTCTTTGTATAGTCCAGACTGGTCTTAAATTCTCTAATTCCCCTTGCCTCATCTTCCCAAGTGCTATCTAAGATCACAGGTATGCACTACCACATCTGCCTTCAGAAAAACTTTTTTGGAAGCAACAGTTTCTACAAACAAAGCTAGATGTTATTGTGTTGTTATTTTTTTTAATAAAGGGCAAGATAAAATTGCTTTAGAAATGTCAAACCGCTCTCTCTCTCTCTCGCTCTCTCTCTCTCTCGCTCTCTCTTGCTCTCTCTTGCTCTCTCTCCTTTCTTACCCATGGGCAAATGACTGAGGCAACAATGGTATAAACGTAGGGGAAGTATAGAGATAGGAGATTAAGAGAACATGAGGCTTGAACTAAACCAGTAACATTGAAATTGAAGAAAAGCTACATTTAAATGGGATTTTATGATGTATACAAATAACAAGAACTCAATATATGTCATTTTCTCCCTTTTGTTACAAAAACATTTTGGATTTTTGGTTCCAGTGTTAAAGATTTTGATGTATCAATTATATCAAAATTAGTTTAAAAAAACTAAAGCTAAGGCTGATTAAAACTAAACATGAATAAATGGTTATAGACAAAATATTCAATCATCCTCAATCATCTTTTAACAAAAATGAATAAAAAATTTTAGCATTTATCCAAATACTAAAATGACAACATACTTTAAAAAAAAAATTGGAGGGCTGGGAAGGTGGCTCAGTGGTAGAGTGCTTGCCTTGCATGCCTGAGGCCCTGGGTTCAATTCCTCAGCACCACATAAGCAAAAAGAAAAAAGCCGGAAGTGGCACTGTGGCTTAAGTGGTAGAGCACTAGCCTTGAGCTGAAGAGCTGAGGGACAGCGCCCAGGCCCAGAGTTCAGGTCCCACAACCGGACCCCAAAAAAAAAAAAAAATTGGAGCCTGTTCTAGAGCTTGAACTTAGGGCCTGAACTCTTCCCTGAGCCTTTTTTTGCGCAAGGATATTGCTCTACCACTCCAGCCACAGGTCCACTTCTGGCATTTTTGGTAGTTTAGTCATGATTAGAGTTTCATGGACTTTCCTGCCTGGGCAATCCTGAGATCTCAGCCTCCTAAGTAGTTAGGATTACAGGTGTGTACCACTGGCGCCTGGCTTCTAAAATGAGTATGTACTTTTAAGAGAAATAATGAACATAAAATAAATAGAATATGTGATACAATTACACTTTTTGCATGGAAGACCGAAAATGTACTAGCATGCACTGTTTATGTTATTTATTTCGACAAGTTTCATTGGTAAACAAGTATTTTTGAAATGAGACTGTGTAATTATAGCCATGTAATTATAAACATTATAATGATGCCATAGCGTAAGAGATTATCATTTAAACTCACAAAAATTCATTTTTTAATTCTAAATACAAAATTAGAAAAAAAAATCTATTTTCATTAGAAAAAATTTAAAGGAAAGTACACAACTGTGGTATGATGCCAAAGCAATCTATAGTTATCTTAATAATTAGACTATGTACAACAACTATTTATGAAACCATCTCTCTAGTACTGAGCCATTACATAAGCAGGTATTTAAGTCTGAATGATTCCATTTTCAAGTCTAGATTTGCCAGTATTTAGACCTTTGCATTAGTCAGCATGTCTACCTATAAAACATTTAATTCCCCATTGTATCTTAAAAGCCTCTGGCAGGATTTGCTAGAACGCATACAGAAAGTGCAACCCAGTGATAACAGTAGAAACATGGTAAAGCTCCCAACCTTTAAGTCAGTGGGTTTTTATTAGGTTTTTAATACACTATAGCACAGATCCCCATGGCTCTATGCTACTGAATAGTAGCAATATATTCTACCTCTGAGTTCATTTTACCTGTAGCAGTTTGCCCCATACATGCAGGATGTCCTCTTGACCTTGTTTCCTTCTGAATCTAGTGGAACTGAATCAGTTGCCTTTGCATGCAAAGTTTCAGGACTAGAGGGATCAGAGCCAGAATCAGGATGGCATCTGTCAGACTCAGTAGGGAATGACTTGCTTTGGACACTCAAACAACTCTCAGAACAACTTGCCACCTTGTCCTCTTCATTTGGTGTTTCCTTAGTCACAACTTCGTGTTCATCAAGAACAGTTTTGTTTCTCTGTGTTTTAGTCTTTGTACTGTTCACATTTGTATTACTTAATGTAATTGGAGAAAATGAATCTAGTATTTCCTACAAAAGATCAGGGAAAAAAATCAGAAACCATTAAACTTGCTCCATGCTCAAAAATAAATTTGATGAAGATATGTTAGAACCCATTCGGACTAAAAAGTATGTTTCCTTTGAAATGGTCTGAATAAGTTTCTGTTTAACCAATTTAATTTAAAGGTGCTCTGCACCAAGAAAATATTCTTATTAGAATTGTAGAACTTTTTTAAATTTACGCCTACTACCAGCACAAGGAATAAACCTAGTCTTGTTTAAAAAGACCTCTAATGACTTAACACTTCCTGTAGAGAATGAACATTGCCCAGATAAATGCCAGTCATCCTGATAACCACCTCTAGGCTCATGACAATGTGTTAACTACACATATGCTCACTCCGTTGTCAAATAAGGATTCATGTATGATGGATGTCATCTAGAAACTAGTTTCATTGCTTAATTCCAATAGCTCAAATTTACTAACATATTACTGAAGTAAGGAGGTCAGGTCTGGCTGGCACCATATTGGCCACATGGTGGATTTTAGGGTCTGGCATCTTGCCTTCAAGCTGGGGGAAGAAAACCACCTACCCAGATCCCTGGAGGCAGGGGTGGGCACTTGGCTGATAGGTTACTGAATCCAGTGCCTGGGACTGGGAATTTCCTGAGGATCTGCCCCCTGCGCTGACCTATTTAGGCCTGGACTAGCCTAGCTGCCAGGAGGCCATGCCACGTGAGTCTATGTGATCTTGTCCTGTGTCCTGTCTCCTGTCTCGTCTCCAGTACCATAGCATCCCAATTCAGCTCTCCATTGAAGGTGAATTGGCTTGTTCGTATTGTTTTTGTTCTTTCTTTCCTCTTTTGCATGTTTCCTAGAGGTGTTATGTGTATTTGGGGGACTCTGTAACAACGGGTGGCCTGCAGTCTGTTAAATGTGTAATAAAGACTCCAATATTCTATATTTCAAAGTGTGGCTTCTGGTATGATTTATCTTACAACATTATTGGGCTAAAACTAGGTGTTTTAATATTTTTTTCTTTTCTTTTTAAGGAAACATAGTATACAACTTCAAAACATTACTTCAATGACTATCATCTTGCTAATGAACCTAGATTTTATAATAGTTCTGTATACTAACAGATAAGCAATGAGAACAGCAATTACTTGGCTATTTCTTGGCTGGTGGCACTAAACCATACATTCTACTTCCAAACTGCTCAACTACTCCCCAATCTCATCCTGTTCTACTGCAGAACTAACTGGCACATTCCAGCAACTAGAAGTCTGAACTAGGAATTGAGTAATCCTAACCTGCCCACTTACTTGACAGTCCAGTTTTCATTTTCCCTGTTTAACAGTGATCAGCAGATCCACTAGATATCCAGTACGTCAGTCTCTGGTTCATGTTGGTATTTAGAAATGGCAGAGATAATTCTCTTAGAGTGTCATTCTCCTCTTGATTTCAGAAAGGGAGGCAATAACTTCTCCCAACAAACTGCAAACTCCCCATACCTTAAACCTTTCATCCTCTCTATTTTCTTTATACAAAGCCTGGGAGTAGGAGGGTGAAGTCTTCATATACATTTCAAAAGGTTCAATGAGGAAGAATAGATCCTCATTGCTGGGAGCTCCTTTCAAATGTGAGATACTTATGTTTAGTACCTCTGACCCCAGCTTCTGGCCATAGCAGTAGTTTGAGGGAGATGGAGGAAAAATCACCCTAAGCAGCCTATCCCATTTATTACAGGGGAAAAAAAAGACAAAAGTAGGGAAATGATAAATTAGAATACATTCCTATGAAACATTGTGCAGAAATTGAAATAAGAGTAACCTCTCTAAAGATGCTTTTAACAAGAACAGTATATATACTATTGTGCCATTTAGCTCCTTGTATATTTATATGTCTACTTGTATAAATCCAATTAGAACATTTAGAATCATAGAAAAGTATTAGTAAGACAATGGGATGGAAGAACAGGACAAAGCTAAGTTTTCCCTCTTTATTCCACATGTTCCTATAGTCTATTTTTTAACACTAAGCATGTATTAATGTTGTGAAAAGCCCAAAGAAAATGAAATATAAGAAAGAAAATGTATAACATCATATTCAATTTCCTATTTTAGTTCCACAAAATATAGAGAAAACTCTCTTTTACTTAAAAAATCACTTTAAATCCCCACAAGGAGCATGTTTAACATGTTAACTTATTTTGAAGTGAAAGAAACATGAAAGCCAGTGACAATACTATGGACGAGGGATTCTTAAATATATTTGAAGAAGCTCCAAACCTGGAATTCTTAATTCTCTTCATAAAATTCCATGAAATATTGATACAGAAAAGACCCTTGGCATTCAAAATTTAACACCCATGGTTTCAATCATTTATAAATGATTCCAAAATCCATTACATGAAGTAATCTGTAAGTTTACTGAGGCTTAGAAGTACTGTGCCAAAGATAGAGCTTATAAGCTTGAACCAGTCATTGAGGTGACAAGCCAAGGAACAGGAGAGATGGAAGATGCTCTCTCTATAGTAGGTAGAAGACAGAGGGGTTCAATTTTTTTGTAAGCATCCCCACCTTGCTTATTTCTTAAGATTAGATTGAGATGTTAAAAAAAAAAGTATGGAAATGTATGGAATGCTAGAAATTCCTAAGAATGACCACATCTCCTGCAACAGAAACTGCTGGAAGGTACCTTTGGTGCTTGGCAGTGGCTAGAATACACTAATAAAGCTAGTAAAATAGTCTGATAACTTGCCCCAAAGCTCTTCCCTGCCCTTCAACCATCTGAACTCAATGTATTGCCAGAGACAGGATAAAGAACTTTCCTCTAATACAAATTCAGTGAGGTAATCTGTTATCATTTCCAAGCTCCCCTTGGCAAGAATGTCTGTGTGGCTAAGTTGTCTTAAAAGTCCATCAATTCCATTAGCATCCATACATTAAGAACTGCATAATTCCAACCTCCCTGTTTCATTCCTAAGCTAATTCATATATTCAGCCACTAGCTCAGCATTTCTTCTCAATATTGTGTGCTCCTCAAACTCAAAATGCCAAAACAGAAATTCTGCCTTTGTATTATTCTCTACCACGGTTTCTGACACTACAATATAGTCATTCCTTCTATCTAGAAATTTGGAAGTCGCCCTGTCATTACTTTCCTTGACTTTTCCCAGATCTGAATAATTAGTGCTACCATTTTGCTTACTAGATATTTTTCTAATCCAATGCTTCCTCACCAGCCTTAAAGTCACTGCCTTGGCTCAGATTCTATTTCTTTCTCTCTTTCCTATTTTTTCTTTGTTAGTTCCAGAGTTTGAACTTGGGGCCTTGTACTTTTTCAGGTTGCTTGCTCAGATAGTACTCTCCTAACTGAGCCATGTTTCCAGCCTGGCTTTCTGCCATTTAATTAGAGATAGTCTTACAGACTTTTTGGCTTGGACTGGCTTCAAACTACAGTCCTCTAGAGCTCAGCCTCCTAAGTAGCTAGGATTGGAGGCTTGCACTGTCAGTGCCCAGTAATTCTATTTCTTGACTATGTTAATAAATAACTGTCTTCCTTACATTCCTAGTCTTTTACTTCATTCTCTTCTGATCTCTCTTCAAGGATTTATCTTATGGTAGGAAACATTTTAAGTAATCTCTCTCCTGATGGCTTTATTAGGAATTACTGTTCTTAGATTAGAATTACTGTTTTTAGGAGTCTTGGTGCAAGTTGAGTAACAGTGTGAGATGGAGGTCTACTACAGCTGAGTATCCCATATTCAAAATGACTGCAACTAGAAATATTCTAGATTTCAGAGTTTTTTTTCTTATTTCAGAATATGCACATAGATATACAGTTGAGCATCCCTAATCTGCATATCCAAAATCTGAAATTTCAGAGCCCAAATTCAAATAATTTTGAATATCTTATTAGTGTGCAGAGCTTCAGATTTGGGAGTATTTCAGATGTCTGATTAGGGGATTAGAGATTTTCAATCTGTATTTAGATCTCCTGTATTTGGATCTCCATTAGGCTTCTAACTCTTCTTATGTTTTCTCCTCTCCTGTACTTTCCTTTTCCTCCCTCCCATCCTTTCTTCTCTAAGTATGAAAAGGACAGTTCTGAACAATCCGCTGCAAAATCACATCCACAGTGATCTTAGAGTATTTATAGACCTTTTCTTTCCTCTTTCAGTTTTCACTAACTCATTAGAATAATTTTGCTGAATTGGCATTCCTTAACACTGGATATTCAAAGATAATGAGGCCTATTTTTCAGATACTTTTTAAAAAAGGAACAAGAGAATGATGGCCCCAGGGCAAAAAATTTAGGCATTTTTCTTCTTTGGAGAGAAGTGGCTAATGGTGATAGTTTTCCTAATACTTGTAAACCAATGGCAGAGCTTTGTGGGTCATTTTAGTCTTATAAAGAGTAAAAGGAACAGGGCTGGTTTTGGAAGAGTGTGCTCAGAACAAATGGAATGTCACAAGCTATCACAGAGGACGAGTCTTTCACATACTACTCTCACTCTTGCCTCTGCTTCATGAGACAGAAATCAGTTTCTCACTGTGGAATGGAAGAGGTAGGTTTTCAGGACGGAGGCACCAAATTATGACCAGAGATAAGTAGACTCCCTTTTTTCCCAGTGTGAAAATTTCTAAATCAATCTTTTTATTTTCTCCAATGTACATTAACCTGTACATTAAAAATTAAGCTAGTTTTATTTTCATAAACTCAATAATAAAAAGCAGGTCTTCTTCTTCTTGACGTATATAGTATAATTAATTCTTACCTCTTTATCCTAGGCAAAAGGCTGGGAAGGTTTACTTACTACCTAGAACATGTAACATAGAACATAAATAATGAGGCAGGTGCCTGTAATCTTAGCTACTCAGGAGGCTGAGATCTGAGGACTGAGGTTCAAAGCCAGCCTGGGCGGGAAAGTCTGTAAGATTCTTATCTCCAATAAACCACCAGAAAACCAAAAGTGACACTATGGCTCAAGTGTTAGAGCACTAGCCTTGAACTGAAGAGCTGAGGGACAGCACCAGGCCCAGAGTTCAAGCCCCATGACCGACAGTAAAATAAATAAACAAATAAAAATAAATAAAAAATGAAATAAAGATTGTTTTTTCTAAAATCACCTTGGATGAAATGACAGGCTCTTCTTGATCAATATTTTTATTTTTTTTCCCTGAGTTTTGTTCTGCTGATCTACTTTCTGAATTTCCTGATGAAATCAATCGCTTTCTGCCTTGCTGTGTCATATCTAGTAGAGTGGATTTTTTGCAGCTCCCTTCTTTTCCATTTCCCTGGATGACGCCATTACCTGAAATACACATACAAAAGAGTATTTCTATATCTTCAAGTGTCAATCTTCAAAAAAAGAAATAAAACACAAATAGAATAGCATGTAGAATTAAAGCTCCATTCATAGAATGTCAACTTGGAAACATTTATTTACAAATTTCACAAAGTACAAAACAGCAGCACATGGCCAATGGTGCTAAACCTGGAGCGTGCCAGGCCAAGAGGCAACATGAGTTTTACACCTCAAGAGTTTTACCTCACTTCTCTGAGCTTCAGCTTCATTTGCAAAATGGGAATTATAATAATAATTCATGGAATTATTAGAAGTAAATGAGGTACGATATATAAACTAAGTTTATAATTTGCTACTTCATTTATTGTTTGAATAGTATGAATTAAATAGCTAACTGACTTTAACTGATGAAATCTTGCTACCATAGTTTGAAGTTATAAAAAATTTCTCTAAGAGAAAATCTGACCCAGAAAATCTGACCTAATGAACTTTACATATATTTATAGAGTCCCTAACGTCCACAGTTATCTTAAGAAACCCAAAGCAACTCAAAAGGAGAATGACATCTACAGATTGCTAATAAAGTCTCAAGGTGACAATGGACACTGTATCCCATACTTACCCAAATTCCAGTGAGTTGGTAAACCTAAGTCAGTATCATATTTTGTAACAAATTCATAAACCATCTAATAAGTAAAGAAAAAAATGAGTGCTGGGATGTAGATCAGAAGCAGAGTACTTGCCTAGCATTTACAACACCTGACGTTCCATCCCTAACACTGAAGAAAAAAGGAAGGTAAGATAAAGATAAAGGTAAGGGTAGGTAAGGAGGAGAAGAATAAAGATTTTAAAAGTAAAAGGTTAAAAAAAAAAAGGAAAAGTGTCATCTACTTGTTTTAATGGGAAAATATGTACAACTATCTTTTCTACACCAGAAATGATCATCTGATGTGCCTAGTACAAGACTGGTACTCAACAAATATTCCTAAGCAAATTGTAACTATAAACAATTTCTCCAAAGATTCCGGTAGAGCCAGGATATAGGTATGTGAACAATCTGTAGTCACTATTTTAATGTACTAAAGCAGGGGTCAGTAATTTTTTTTTCTGGGGAAAAAAAAAAAACAGAGTATACAGTTCAAGTTCTGTGGGCCACACTGTGTCTGACACAATTACCCAACTCTACTTTGTAGAGTTAGAGAGTAGCCATGTATTGTGTCTGTATGCCAATAAGACTTTAGTTGTAAAAATATTCAATGGGCCAAACTTGACCCATTGGCTGTAGTCAGTTTACACTGTTCCAAAGCATAGGCACATGGGCTGAAATACTAATCTCTTCTTTAAAGTCAGGAAATATCAATGGAATAATGTTCATCTTTTCAAAGAGAAATATCAACAAAACCAATATAAAAATACTATTTAGCTATCTACCTTTAGTTACATGGTTACATTTTCCACAGTTTCACTTATAGTCAACCATGGAAAATTACAGAAACGATTCATACATTTTAAATCACATGATGTTCTGTGTAACACACTGAAATCTTACACCATCTTGTTCCCTCCCACTCATCATTATTTTGTCCAGTGTATCCATGCTATATTCTGGTACCCATTTAGTAACTGCCTTTGTTATCAGACCAACTATTGCAGTATCACAGTGCTTGTGCTCAAGTAACCATATTTTACTTAACAACAGCGAAAGCACAAAGTGTGGCTCAAGTGATAGAGTACTAGCCATAAGTGATCAACCTGAGGGTGCCCAAGACCAAGTTCATAAGAAAAAAACAGTTCCTTTTTTTTTTTTTTTGTCGGTCATGGGGCTTGAACTCTGGGCTTGGACGCTGTCCCTGCGCTCTTCAGCTCAAGGCGAGCGCTCTACTGCTTGAGCCACAGCGCCACTTCCAGTTTACTACTGGTTAATTGGAGATAAGAGTCTCATAGACTTTTCTGCCAGAGCTGGCTTTGAACCATGATCCTCAGATCTCAGCCTCCTCTGTAGCTAGGATTAGAGGTGTGAGCCACCAGCGCCTGGCAAAAAATCAATTCTTTACTTACCAATATATCTATATAGATAGATATATAGACATATATATAACTAGATATATAGTTTGATATATATATATATACTTTTATATATATATATATATATATATATATATATATATACACACACAAGATTGGTGAATGCATGGAGTAACTAGAACCTTCTCATGTATTTCCAAGGACTGTGTAAAGGTACAACTATTCTGGAAAAAGATTTGCAGCATTTTAGAAAGTTAACATATATCTACTCATTGACTCAGCAGCTCCACTATTCAATATTCTTTCAAGAGAAATTAAAGCATATGTTCACAAATGTACTTGGAGGGCTGGGAAGATTGCTCAGTGGTAGAGCATTTGCCTTGCATGCTTGAGGCCCTGGGTTCGATTCCTCAGCACCACATAAGCAAAAAGAAAAAAGCCGGAAGAGCTCTAGCCTTGAGCTGAAGAGCTGAGGGACAGCAGCCCAGGCTCAGAGTTCAGGCCCACGACTGGACCCAAAAAAAAAAAAAAATGTATTTGGATAAGAATATCAACCCAAAACTTCAAACAACTCAAATGTCTATCAAAAGGACAATGAGTAAACAATATGATATGGTAAACAATTGAATATTCTTCAGCAATAAAAAGAAACAAAGCAATGATAAATAAAAAACATTACTTGAACCCCACAAATATAGATAATTATTTATGTTGTTGATTAAAAATAAATATAAACAAATAAATAATGCCATAGCCCTCAGAAGAGCTAGAAACACTTAAAAACTATTAAAATATGTTTTTAACTAACCTTGCATGTACATGCAAATATATGTGTTACAGTTGCCAATTATTTCCCTTCTCACTAGGACTTTTTAGAGATCCTAGACCTAGAGGCCTGGTTCACCATGGGCCAAAATGTTTTTCTTAATGAAATGTTGCCTTGAGAAGACATAGCTACCTAATAACTAGTTAGCAATGAAGGCTTAAGGAAAGGAGACTTAGGCCAACACCAGAAGTTAGGCAAACCAAAGAATATTCAAAATCAAAGACAAAGACCTGAGCTGTGGAAAGAGAAACAAGAATACAGCTCTTGTGTACAGGAGGGAAGTGGGAGGGACTGACTGACCATCCATCTCCCATGAGACTTAACTGTACTCCACTACCTAGATGTGGAGAGCTATTCTAACCTTACACATTCTCCTTTGATTAAACTAGCCTGCAAAAGCTCTAATACTTCCAAATTAATAACACTGTGCCTGAAGATAACAATTAGTAAAGACTCTTAAGAAGCCTGAAACAACTGATATCCAACCGAAGACATAAATCACTGTATTTGCCATCTCCGTAAACTGTACCAAGACAGAGGTCGGATCTTTTTTGAATCTCCCAGCATCTGGCATTTTTTTATTTAATTAATTTAACTTTAAGTGCTCCTATTGTGCTTCCCTTTTATCTCAGACATGATGCCAACAGGTTCATTTGAAAATCAATATTAGTATCTTAAGTCTGGACTATAACAGTACTTTTAAATGAAAAACAATCAGCAGAATGGCATTTGATAAATGGCATAAAATAAAAGCTTATGCTTTAAGCTATAATGCAGGTACAGATCTAAAGAATTCTTAGCCTCAGTAAGGGCATGCAATAGAGCACTGAGGTATCAAAGGCCAGCCTGCCTATATGCAAAGACCTTATCTCAAAAAAATAAATACAACTAAATTCTTAGGTTAAGCTACACTGTACACAACAAACTACTCTATATTGGTTCAGAAGAATCTTCGAGTTTTGCTTAATGTTTTCTTAGAAGTCAACAAACAAAAACCTACCTCCACTGACAATAGGTGCTAAAAGGTCTTGATCACTTAAATTTTCTGCCAACATCCAAGCTGGAAGGATTCTTTTCCTCTGGGCAGGGTTTGTACTACATTCACCTAGGAAAGACTAAAGGGCAACTACAAATTAATTCATAAAGATAATCATGAATCCTTAATGAATTTATAAAATTATCTGTACTATGCAGAAAGCTGAAATGTCCAACTCCAACTATGGACTGAGTTGTTTAAATTTTTTGAAGAATCATTAGTTGAAATCTTTATTAGTTGAAGTGTTGGCTCAATGAGGTATTCTCTAGTGCTTAACAAAAGCAGAGCAACACCAACAAGACTATTATGGTATGCCTGATTTTAGTGGTCTTTGTCTTCTGAAAAATAACATGAAGAACAGGTTGGAAATAGATGAGATCTTAAGTTTCTCACCAGGTTATTCACTGTGGACGTTTGGCTCTTGGTTATTTCTGGGCTGCTTTCCAACTGTGAGGTACCAGTTGTCTTATTAGGTAAATTTATCACTGGAGACTTTGGTATTTCATTCAATATATCATTTTCATCAAATGATTGACTGTTTCTGTAAGATAAATTAAAAATATGCTTTATAATCATTTAAAACACTTCTGCTGGTAACCATAGCATTGGAAACCTTTTTTTTAATACAACTGACTGCAGAGTTGTGCTTTTATCAAAGAAATTTTTGAAAACAGATTATAGAATAAAATATATGAATCTGAATATGTTCTTCATGTATTGTCATGCATGTTGCCATAAAATACATTAGTCTTTCCAAGGTGGCCTTGAAACCACAGCAATTTAGAAAACTCAAGACCACCGACCGCCCTGTATTTAAGAGATAATGCAAACATTAGCTAATTTAGTTAAGCTATTAGAAAAGAGATTTATCAAATTTTGAGTTCAAGCTCACCTATAGCTGCTATCAGATTTCTGGCCAATACTGCCACTTATGAAATAGTCTCAAACTTCCTATATTATACTGGAAAACTGCGCTTTTCAAGAAATGTAACCATGTATTTAAGCCATCAAATTTAAGGGCATAGTTTGAAATAATATTTTCTCATTTCCCCTTGGTATAGAACAATTGTTTTTCTATGATATGTTCAGAGTTTAAGTCCGTGGGAATAATTTTAATCAAAAAATTGTATTCTTTGCCGGTGGCTCACACCTGTAATCTTAGCTACTCAGGAGGCTGAGATCCAAGGATCATGGTTCAAAGACAGCCCAGGCAGGAAAGTCTGTGAGACTCTTATCTCCAATAAAACTACTAGAAAACGGGAAATGGCGCTGTAGCTCAAGCAGCAGCGTGCTCGCCTTGAGCTGAAGAGCTGAGGGATAGCACCCAAGCCCAGAGCGAAAAATTGTATATTTTTCCCACAATCCTGCTTTAACTTTACTAGTTATTGAAGGTCTGTGGTATCAATAATTGTATCCTCTCTGTCATTCTTGATATAATTTATATTTTGTTCCTTTTTAATTTTCTCAGTAAGTGTGACGGAAGATTTTTAAAATTTCATTAATCTAACAAATCGTTTAAATAGGAATACAGGTGGACCCAATGCAACAATGAGATGTACAAGTCGTATGTCGAAAACGAACTTTACAACTTTGGTGAGGATGGGGAGAGGAGGGTTGGATGGGGGAGGGGGAGAGGGGGGAGAGGATGGGATGGGAAAGGGAAACAAAGGAAGAGGCTACAATGCTTGATAAGAAATGTACTCATTATCTTGCCCATGTAATTGTAACCCCTCTGTACAGTATTTTCACAAAAAGAAAAATTCCATTAATCTCTTCAAAAATCCAATTTATAGTTTTACTGATCTTCTTTTTGTCTATTTTTTACTTCATTGACTTCTATGTATTTAAATTGGACTTCACTTGCCCTTTTTGGTCAACTAAAATGAACTGAGCTGTCGTATGAATTTTTAAGGTGTTTTCAGTATCCTGTTAAAAATATTTTCTAAACTGGGCTCTGGTGGCTCACACCTGTAATCCTAGCTACTCAGGAGGCTGAGATCTGAGGATCAAGGTTCAAAGCCAGCCTAGGCAGGAAACTGTGAGACTCTTTATCTCCAATAAACCACTAGAAAAACAGAAGTAGCACTGTGGCTCAAGTGGTAGAATACTTGCCTTGAGCTGAAGAGCTCTGGGACAGCACCCAAGCCCAGAGTTCAAGCCCCACGACTGACCCCCTTTTCCCCCCCAAAAAAAAATATATATATTTCTAATTTTCCTAATGAGTTTTTTTGACCCTGAAGTTATTTAAAAATGTGTTAATTTCAAAATATATGAAGATTTTTTTTTACTTGATTCTGTTTCTATTATTTTATTTCACTTCTAAGTACTGGGAACTGTGCTTGTTGTTCATTGCTCCACCGTTTGAGCAATGCCTCCAGACCTTTTTTATGTGGCTATTTTTGAGGTGGAGTCTCACTTAACACCAGGCTGACCTGTGTTACAATCCTCCTGCTAGTTTTCTCATGTCACTGAGAATAGCAGATACATTCTATTGCATCCTATCTTTGTGCTTCCTTGGGTGGCTGGGACAACAGGTATACTACCATGCCCGACCATTGTCTGAGATGGAGTTTCACAAACTTTTTTGCCCAAGTGGCCTTGAAGAGCAATCTCCCAAGCTCTGCCTCACAAGTAACTAGAATTACAGGCTCAAGCCCTGGTACTAGTCTATATTTTACTGTAAGTGATTTCTGATTTTAAAACATGGGCAATTAGAAAACATACTCTAAAAATTTTCCCTTCTGATTCTATATGTCTAGTTTATAATCTAACAAGTGGTTCAGTAATCTAGTATGTGAATTTTAACTTCATACTGGATATTAGTATATTTATTCTAATGTGTATATATCCTCAATTTCCCTATTCTACATTTCTTGTATTTTTATAACAAGAATGTGGTCTAAGTCCCAAGTTGATACTTTAATGCAAACAAGCTTTCAAAAGTGAGAAAAAAAGCAGTCAATTTCAAATTAACTATCCTAGTAATTGCTGAATAGAAATTCAGAATACAAACGTACAAGACAATTCAATTTTGGACCAATCATTACTAAGGTATAGATTTCCAAGGTAAAATGTTTTCTAAAATTCATGTACACAAACAAGCATTCACAACATACACACCCATACACAGGTTACCAACTCTCCAAAATAGTTTGATATTAAAATTATTTTCTATGGACATATTTATGATGATTATAGAATTAGATTACAAATGTATTACTTACTGTCACCAGGCAAACTTACATTAAGGTACATTCCAGATCTGTTTCAGAATGTATAGAGGAAACACGGAAAATGTACTTGTCGACTAACAAAGATAATCTATCTCCAGGATGCAGCCAGCACCATAGATTTCTCTTCATTGGTAAGAGCTGGCCTGTCTCAGAAGACTGATAAAAACACGGATTTGTATGTATCTAGCCGACAGAAAAAGAAGACAGTGATGAAGTAACTCAAAATTATAAAAAAATACAACTAAATATGAACTGATATAGAATATCGGTATCAAAAAAATTTAAGTATAACTTACACTGAAAAGTTCAGTATGTCTAGAATATACAAGTAGCATAATTACTATTCATACATAAATGAGAAAAATACTTCCCATTTTCCAGGAATTCAAGAAAAAAGTGGTAATCAATTAATTGGTTAAATTTTTTTTCTGTTTTAAGGGTATACTAAAGCTACCAGCTTGTACAACTGTGTTTATCACAGCATTATTTGCCATAACTAAGATATGGAATCAACCCAGATGCCCCTCAGTAGATGAATGGATCAATCAATAAATAAATAAATATACATATATATATATATATATATAATGGAATTCTATGCCTCCATCAGAAAGAATGACACCACCCCATTTGTTAGGAAATGGAAAGACTTGGAAAACATTAAATTAAGTGAAGTAATCCAGGACCAAAGAAACGTAAGTCCCATGATTTCCCTTATCTGCAATAACTGGTATATGTCTAGGACAAGCAGAAAAGATCAAAAGCTATGTACATATGACCATATAAGATGATGTTAAGTGAAATGAACCCCAGATAGGGATACAAGTAGTTTTTTTCTTGCTTGCTATTGTTTTTAACATATTTATAGTGTACTATGTTTTTTTTTTGTTTGTTTCTTTTATATGTTCTTCTACCCACCCACCCTGTAATAACCCCTGTTTTTACTGTATTTGATGTTGGTGTCCTGCATTTTGTATATACATTTTTCTAATTTGGGGAAGGGAAGGGAAAAATGCTAAAATAAGGATACAGATTGACCCATTGTAACAATGAGATGTACAAGACACTATGCTGAAAACCAACTTTACAACTTCCAGGGAGAGAGTGGCGGGGGTGGGGGGTGGGGGTGGGGGGCTCAAGGAGTTGGGAAGCTGGGAAGGGAAGGGAGGGTAGGGAAAAACAAAGGAGGAGGTAACAATGCTAGATGGGAAATGTACTCATTACCTTACTCATGTAACTGTAACCCCTTTGTACAGTATTTTTATAATAAAAAACATATAATTTTTTTCTGTTTTTCTTAACCAAGACCACTGGACACACTGAGCTAAGAAACATGAAAAATAAGTAAGTCTCAGTATGAAAAAAATAAGCCCAACTTCTTTTCTAAAATGCACTGATTCCCTGAGAGTGGCTAGCTCCTATTCCACTTATTTTCTTCTAATAATTTCTTAATATAATTTAAAAATAAGAAACTGTAAGAAGAGATTCTAACCAAAGTTCTCAAACAACATAGCTTTCTAGTTTCCTGAAAGAGAAATGTTATTTTCTTCAATGAAACTCCCAGTATGAAGATCATCATTCATATTCAATCAAAAGCAGCAAAATATCAAAGTGAAAGACAGTATATTGTCCACTATTTTGAATTATTTTTGTCATTATCTCCTTGTTAACAAAGATAAACAGATTTACTAGTTTCCTTCAAAAAATTTAAAAATTTATTGAGAGGCATATTAAATCTCAACTAGAATCAAGGTGAAATAAACCACTCCCATAATTCAAACATTTTATTGTCATCAACAACATTGGGGCTTGGGAGGATTTACTTTATTGTAAAGGTACTGTACAGAGGGGTTGCAGTTATATAAGTAAGATAATGAATACATTTCTTGCCAAACTTTGCTACCCACTCCATAGTTTTTCTTCCACTATCTCATCCCACCCGCCCCTCCTCCCCCCTGCCACTGGGTTTTGTAAATAATCTACAGCAATGTAGATCTTTGCTTTTGGTTTTGGTTTGTCAATAGAAGCCTATATATTGTTATATAACTACTCCCTGAACTATACAATTACCAAAATGAGAAGATAACAAACTGTGATAAAAGCACTGACAGCTACAGATACCCCATAGACTAAGGAACACTGATAACATGGTCTTCTACAAAGAACATCAGTTTGTCTTCATAATGTATTTCCTTCCTGCTGATATCAGAATGAAGATTAAATTTAAATGATGCATTAAAAAAGCTAACATCATCTCCTCAAGAGCCAGTATCTTATCTTCATGTACTAGTTCCACAAATAATGAAATGTTAAAGCATCTTAACATTGAACTCAGGGCCTGGAAGCTGTCTCTAAGCTTTTTTCTCTTTATTCTCAAGCCTAGCACTCTACCACTTGAACCATAGTTCCACTTCCAGCTTTTTTTGGTGGTTTGTTAGAGACAAGAGTTTCACAGACTTTCCTAGCTAGGTTAGCTTCAAACTACAATTCTCAGATCTCAGCCTCCTGGGTAGTTAGAATTACAGGTGTGAGCCACCCAAGCCTGGCTAAAAGTTAAAGCATTTTTAAAGAGAAATGTTAGAAAACAAAGAAATTCATCCAACTTTAAAATTCAACTTATCAAGGTACCAGTGACTCATGTCTGTAATCATAGCTACTTTGGAAGCTGAGATCTTGAGGACTGCAGTTTGAGACCAGCTGGGCAGAAAAGTTGTCAAGACTTTCAGCCAACTTGTGCTGTATTTGGCGGGATCTAGGTTGCAGGTCAGCCCACAGAAAAGCCATGAGACTATCTCAAAAGAGGAAACTGGGCATCATAGCACCACATCTGCCATCCCAACTACAATGGGAAGCTGATTGTACACCGTAAACTCTATCTCTAAATCAAGCCTGAGGTGTGAGGGCTTGAATTCAAACCCCAGTACCACCAGAAAAAAAAAAAATGTCCTAATCATATTCAACTATCAGTTTTAAAACTACTTGTATTTGGCACTACTGAGGTTTTGAATTCAGAGCTCCACTGTACCACTTTATCTAGGTCCCCAAACAACTTTTTTCTCTTTGTTTTTAAGATAAAGTTTCTCATTTTTGCCCAGAGCCAAGGTCAGCCTCAGACTACAATTCTCCCACTAGGCCTCTCAAATGGCTGGGATTAAGGTATATGCCACTATACCCATCCCAAGATAGAAATCATTTTTTTTTAATGACTTATTCAGGGTTGAGATGAGGTCAATTCAGCTCTAGTTAAAATTTCTCCCAATACTAAAATTTAAACAATTTTAATTAATTTTAAGTAATTTTAATTTTAGATAATTTTCAAATTTAGGAACAATTCAATCAATATAGGAAGATAAAAATAATTATCTATGTTCCAAGAAAGCATTAATGCCAGGCACCAGTGGCTCATGCCTGTAATCCTGGCTACTCAGGAGGCTGAGATCTGAGGATCGCAGTTCAAAGCCAGCCCCAGCAGAAAAGTCCTTGAGACTCTTATCTCCAATAAACCACTAGAAAACCAGAAGTGGCGCTGTGGCTCAAGCAGTAGAGCGCTCACCTTGAGCTGAAGAGCACAGGGTCAGCACCCAAGCCCAGAGTTCAAGCCCCACAACCGACAAAAAAAATAAAATAAAAATAAATAAAAGCATTAATAATGATACAAGATGAAATTGTACAGAAAGATTAAAATAAAAATTATTTTAGAGCCAGACACCAGTGGCTCACACCTGTAATCCTAGCTACTCAGGAGTCTGAGATCTGAGGATCGGGGTTCAAAGCCAGCCTGGGCAGGAAAGTCCGTGAGACTCTTATCTCCAATTAACCACCAGCAAACCAGAAGTAGTGCTGTGGCTCAATTGTAGAGTGCTTGCCTTGAGCTGAAGAGTATAGGGTCAGCGCCCAGGCCCAGAGTTCAAGCCCCACAACCAACTTAAAAAAAAAGAAGAAGAAGAAGAAGAAAAGAAAGAAGAAAGAAATATTTGAAATGGTATAAATTAATGAATTTAATTCCATGACAGTAATTTTGCTACCACACTATCTAGTGCACAATCAACTAACCCTCATGCATATACTTCATTCTCTTACACAGTAGATTCTACAGATGGCAAGAAATAACCATATAGGATTTTTCCAGAAGGTGGCTGTCCTTGCAAATGATGTTATTCAAGGAATCAAAACTCTAGCCTAAACAGAAACTTCCAAATTATAATCACTTTAAAACCTTGAAATTGGTACATTTAATCACTCTTAATAAATATGAGTCAAACCCTCAACCTCCATTTGAGCACAGCTATGCTGAATGCTTTAAGATCATGAAGAATTTATGGTCAGGTATGCCCATACCCATGGCTGGGTCGTGCACTATCTTTTTATGTTTCATTCACTCTGCTTTACTAATAAACGTTCTTGGCCTTTAAAATAAATAAATAAATAAATAAAACCTTGAAGTTGAACAAGTTCTAAACTTTAGAAATCTTCAGCTCTACACAAAGAGTTACAGAATTTGTTAAAATATACCTCTAAAACAAAACCAACTTCAGTCACTACCCTCCTCCTTCCCCTGCAAAAGTCAACCATTACATAGTTATAAGCTTTCTTGCAGAATCTTATTTGGAATATCCAGTTATGAGTAAAACTATAATGCATAGATGAACTTGCAGTCATATTTCATTAAAATTCTAACTACATAAATGTAGCTTTATCCAGTGAGAAATATATATAATTTAATACTGTAGATCTACTTCCCAAGAATCTTCTAGCCAAGGGAAGGATATATTCTGATATGAATTCCCTATTTCTAGAACCTTAGAAGACAGGGACCTTGAGTCAGACACTAGAAGGATAAGAGATTTAAAAAGTTAAAATCTATCATAACTAGCAGGCTTACCGGTTTGATTCGAAGCTGACCACCCACCACCTCAAGAATGGCATGTCTTCTAGACACCTTCTTGTCTGTTATCTACAATGGGAAAACAAAAATACAGTCACCTCCTAAACAAACAAGCCTGAACAGTAGGCACACAATTCCCTTGGCATGTTCCTGAAGTCAGTAGGCTAGATATGAAGTATGTCACCCATTCAACAACTATGTAAGTTTTGTTGAGGGTGGTGGCAAAGGAAATGGGGAAGATGAATTGAAAGAGGAAGGACAGGTAAATCCAGACACTGTCTTCAATATACATATGTAAAAACCGAACTATGTAAGTTGAGGGTATGGATGTAATTGGGAAAGATGAGGGAGAACTATGCATTATACTTATAATCTGACAAGCTGAAACTTTGCATAACTATTTAAATTTTTAAGTAATTTTTTTGAAAACCATGTATCAATGGCAGTTCTCATTTAACAGATGAAACAACTCATTCCAAAGTCATAGATGAATAAATGGCAGAGGCAAAACAAGCATGGGCCTAACATCCCAAACCTGTCTAACACCTCTATTCATGAAAAACATTTTGTGGGATTCCTAGCAATAAACCTTATGAGAACAGGTGCATATATAATACATTGTTATAATAGCAAAGGCATTTTAAAGAAGCAGTCTGAAAAAATGTAAGGGTTATGACTGTAAATCCAAGGTCTGGCAGGTTTTGATAAGGCAAATTTGCATTTAATCTCTGAGACCATCTCAGTAGTTTTGAAAACAAGAAAACAAAAGGAATAAGAGTAAATAACAAACACTTAAAATGTAAAAGAGATTAGGATCTTTTTTTTGGGGGGGGGGGTCCGGTTGTGGGGCCTGAACTCTGGGCCTGGGCGCTGTCCCTCAGCTCTTCAGCTCAAGGCTAGCACTCGACCACTTAAGCCACAGCACCACTTCTGGCTTTTTTTTTTTTCTGCTTATGTGGTGCTGAGGAATCGAACCCAGGGCCTCAACCATGCAAGGCAAATGCTCTACCACTGAGCCACCTTGCCAGCCCAGGATCTATTTTTAAATTCCATTTGTTTCCTGTTTTGGGTCAACAATGGTCAACTTATCCTCACAATGATTCCTGCATACCCAAGTTTGAAAATTATATTCATTTTAAATGGTAAAAATGATCATCTTCTCATTTCACTGTAAAGACAATAAATTACCTCTTTTATCTGTGGCTGATACATAAGGAAAGCATTTTAAGTTCTGATTCAATTAACACCACACTTTTCTGACTCATGTCTTAGTTATCTTACTACCTAGCACTTAAAACCTGGCATTATCCACAGAAGGGCCAAATGTATGTAAAAGCACAACACTGATGCATTTGTACAACTAAATCCATTAATTCTACAAAAAATTGCAAAAATAGAAAGTCCCAGAAGTCAGCATTCTTTTTTTTTTTTGTATCAGGGAGCAGTTCCACACAGAAAGTTTAGAAACACTAAGCATCCCAGAAGAGTGAGTGCCACAGAAATGGTCCCCAAAACCAAGGCTCATTTTATAAATATTTACTACCAAAATAAGTTCAAGATAGCCTATTGTTAGGTTTGGTGGCACCTTTAGAGAAACAAATGTAAACTAATAATCTAACTTTAAAAAAGAAGACAGAAGGGCTGGGAAGGTGGCTCAGTGGTAGAGTGCTTGCCTTGCATGCCTGAGGCCCTGGGTTCAATTCCTCAGCACCACATAAGCAGGAAAAAAAAGCCGGAAGTGGTGCTGTGGCTCAAGTGGTAGAGTGCTAGCCTTGAGCTGAAAAGCTGAGGGACAGCGCAGGCCCAGAGTTCAGGCCCCACAACCGGACCCCAAAAAAAATAGTTAAAAAAAAAAAAGAAGAAGACAGAACTTTAGAGATTCCTTTAATCAAAGCAGTTACCAATAACTCATTTCTTCATTGCATAGAACTTTCACTTTAACATTGAGGTTTAACATAATGAAGCCATAGCTGTTATTCATATTTTACATATTTAGACATTGGAAGCCCAGATAATTTTAATATGGGTGGGTACCACTCCTTGTAGACTGAGCTCCAAATCTCCATGAGCAATAAACAAATGAAAACAATAACCTGTGTGTGAAATGCATTACATCTACATAAAATCATTTCCAAGAAATTACAGGAAGTGAGTATCATTCTGTACCTCATGGTAAAAGAAGTTACTATTTCTAATTTGGGGGTCTCAAATTTCATTGTTCCTTCAGTAACAAGTGAATTTCCTAACCAAAAGAGTAATACAGTGCCAAAGATTTTTTTTTTAATCACAGCATATGATTCCTATACGAACTCACTTTAGACTTCTTTCCTTTACAACAATAAAACAACACTGTTGCAAAAGCAATAATGGCCTTTTCTATTTCAGTCTTTCTATTTCTATTTCAATTTTTGAAGTAGGTTTCACAAACACTAAGAAGAAAAAGGTATTTTAAAATAATGTGAAAGCATAACGTGACCTCTAGTGGATATATCATTCCATTACAGTATCATTTCATGACAAACCAGGCACTGCTAGAGACTAACAAAAAGGTCATTTTTCTGAGCATGGTGATATAAAACTATAACCGCAGCATTTGAAAGGCAAAGACAGGAAGAAAAAAAACTAGTTTGAGGACAGCCTAGGCTACCCAGTGAAATTTTGTCTGAAAAATAAACAAATAAAAATAGTCTGATCATACCACACATATCCTCCAAAAAAGTCAAATTAATAAACAAACAGGGAAAATAAAATTACCCATATCCCACACCTAAAGCACAACTAAGAGACTGATGAATATCTTCATTTACATGTAAGAAGGAAAGAGAAACATCAAATCCAGCAGATCAAGCTCCTTATCCTATGCTCAAGCAGAAGTCAGAGGGCAAAGTGAGAAAAATGGGAGTTAGGCACATCTCAAGTAGGAAATACTGAAAGCATATCTCAGATACAGTATTTTCAAACTCTAAAAGGAGAGGCTTAAAAACGTGTGATACTCAGCATAACAAGTTCAGAAAAGGTACCATGTGGAAAGGAGGAATATGTCTTGAATGGATAAGCCATGACTCATGCTTATCATCCTAACTTTAATACAGGAAGCTGAGGACTGAAAATCCCCACTTAGAGCCTGACTAGGTAGACAAATCAGAGACACTCTTATCTCCAATTAACCAGCTTAAAGCTGGCAGTAGAAGCATAGTTCAAGAGGTTGAAAAACAGTTGTAAGTGAAAAAAACTGAACAAAACCAGAAAACTCAAGTTCAAGCCCCAGTTCTAGAAAAAAAAAATACAAAAACCCAGAAACTCAAACAAAATATACAAAAAAAAAAAATTATCAGAGAAAGAAGCCCAAATTTCCAGTATATGAAGGTATTTGAGAAAATACCATATACGGGTTGAACAGTAAACAGAAGGGAAGAGATCTGGAGGCATTGTTGAGAGAGGGAGAGAGAAAGGGAGAAGAAAAGAGGAGGAGAGAGAGAGGAGGAAAGAAACAAGAGAGTACAAGAAAGAATAAGAAAGGGTGTAAGGGAAGAAGTTCATAACTCTGTCTCAACCAATGGCTGGAAGTGGTGGCATGTGCCAGTTATCCCAGCTACAGGGGAAGCACAATGGCTGGGGGCAGAGTCACATGACTCTCATCTCCAGTGATTTGTAGGAGATTTGCAGCCCATGATAGCCCAGACCCAGGCAAGACTCTGAAAGTCAAGACTATAAAAATAATCGAGGCAAAAAGGGCTAGAAGCATAGCTCAAGTGGTAGAGCACTTATGTAATAAGTGCCATAGAGGTCCTAAATTTAACCTTTAGTATTGAAAAAAAAAAAGGCGGGGGGTCATGGAAAGAAATGAGCCATCAAACTATATAAAGACATAAAGGAACCCTAAATGCATATAACTAAGTAAAAACTGAAAAAGTTCACACTATGTGATGTCAATGCGACATTTGAAAAAAGGCAGCACTACAGAAATAATTATTAGTTTAGGGAAGGATAAATAAGCAGAGGCACAGAGGAATTTTAAGGCACTGGTATTTCTCTATGTGACACAGAAATAATGGAGACATACACATTGGTCGGAATCAACTGACCACAAGGAACACTCACATAAACTGTACCTTTAGAGAACAATGTGTCCTTGAAAATCCATCAATGAAATGTGGCTGAAAGTGGAGAAGACCTTCGTGTGTGTGGGAGGGAGCACCATAAGGAAACTGTACATTCTACTCAATTTTGCCAAGCCTGAAAGTACTGAGTCTATTTGTTGATGAGTATAAAAAAGAAGAAATTCTTACAAAGGCTCAATAGGATAGTTGTCACAATGTGACTGCCTTAGAAAGTTAGTGAGCATTTACCCCAATTAGCCAATATGCTCTTTAAATAATACATTCAATTAGCCAAAAGGGCCCTTGTCTCCAAAAATTTTGCCCACTTCTCAGGAGCCCAGATTCTAGCTGCCCTAATCCTTCAGAGTCCATCACACTATCAATCTGTAATACAAAAAATAGCTGAAAATAATGAAAAAGTCAATCATGTTTATAAAACACAAGCCAAAAGGTAAATCTCTGCATGGATGAACAGGTTCTTCATTTTGTCTTGTTTTTAGCATGAGAACTGGAGCTTGAAGTCAGGGGACCTGGTACTCTCAAGTGGTTTTTTTCACTCAAGACTGGTGCTCTCAAGTGACATCCCCCTGCCCCAATTCTATAATTACCAAATTGGTTATCTTTTTTAAAGGTAAAGATGAAAGGTGGGAAAGAGAACTACTTGTCTGGTTCACCAATGTGTATATAGGGCAACACATTCGGATTTGAATGTGAACTGAAGAATTCACAGACAATTAAAAACATTAACAAGGCTTTACTGCATCCATCAAATAGAAACCATCCTTAGGAATAGGAACCTATCCTTAGAGTGAACCTATCAGCAGTATCTACTTGGAAACAAGACAGACAGAAAGAAAACTTGACTTCTGATTTGGGATCCTTTACTTTAATCGCTAACCACCACCCAGGTTAAGCTAAAGATATAAAATGGCTCATTTGAGGGGTACCTTCACATCAAGATTAGACAGGAGCCTGAAAGTCTAATGTTAAACCTTTTCTGTTTTCTACCAAGGATGTCACTCAAAACCTCTCCTCTCAGCTGGCCTTCTCTGACTGTATAAATCCTCATCCATGCCTGATGCAACCCAACAAACACTGCCAGGGTAAGCTTTGCTTTACATGAAACACTAGTGTGTCTAGAACTTACTAAGGACTCAGGTCCTGATCCAAAGGCACCAAGGGGCATTCACTGTTCTCAGGAGCAAGGACACCAATGTTTTTGTAAAGCAAAATCCTCCTTTTGTAATGTAAATAATGGAAGCCTAAATAAAGCTTCCATTTCACTTAATTTTACATCTTTGCATATTTTGATTTGATTTCCTAAAAGCAGAATGTATTTGTAAATGAAAATATTTTTAATCCTCAGTCCTTTCACCTATCATAATGGTTTTCAAAACTCTCATTACAATGAAGCCCATTAGGGGCTGGAAAGGTGGCTCAGTGGTAGAGTGCTTGCCTTGCATGCATGAGACCCTGGGTTCAATTTCTCAGCACCACATAAGCAGAAAAATCCGGAAGTGGCTCTGTGGCTCAAGTGGTAGAGTGCTAGCCTTGAGCTGAAGAGCTGAGGGACAGTGCCCAGGCCCAGAGTTCAGGCCTCATGACCCACGGGGGAAAAAAAAAAAGCCCATTAGTTTGAATAATTAAATACCAAAACAAAAAACAAAACAAAAACAGACTGGTGTTCCATCACTTGAACAACCCATCAAGTTCTGGCTTTGGGCTAGTTAACTGAAGGTAGGAGTCTTGGATTTGTCCCCAAGACAATACTCAAAGCTCAGTCTCCAAAAGAGGTAAACTGACTTTTTACAGACATATGCCTACTCAATGAAATACAGTGATTGATATTTTAATCTTAGCATTTAAAAGGAGAGTGGAAAAGTCTCAGAAAGCTCATTTAGTTGGTTTTCTTTTTTTCTTCTGTAGGGTAACAAACTAGGGACAAAGTAACAAAATATTACCTAAATATTTAACTACTCACTTGGGAGAGGGGGAGGTAGTGAGGAGGAATAAACAGCATGTAGCTTGTTTCTCAACAACCTTACTACATAAACATGTATTTTTGCACACATACACACACACACACACACACACACACACACGACCACCGCCACAAAACAAGCTTAAACAACCTCACTCCTTTTCCTGATCTCACAAAGAGCACTAAGGCTAATATCAATGGTTCCACTCTGGCGCTGCAAGTTAACCAGGATAATAATACATACTTCTTACTCCCTCATATTAACTAACACACGTTTCTCCCTTCCCAGGGAAACTTCCACAGGTTAGGATCCATACCTTGCTATGTATGGTCCTCTCTTCCAGGTATGTACCACAGTGCTAAAAGCTCCAGTTTCATGCACAAAGTGGATACAAGAAAAGTTTAATTGGGAGTGCGGGGGAGAAGGATCACAGGTGTACTTAAGAGAATTTGTGACTTGCAGACTAACTCCTAATTGGAGTTAGTTGGAAAATAAGAGTAGTGGCAATATACATTCAAGAGGTTAAGTATCACCTTTAAATAAATGGTTTGTAGTGCAATTCTCATCTGAACAATAAGGAACATTAGGGGGTTTTGAAAGGATATATATGTACATACATACATAGGTGTGCATATAGAGTTGTTTTTTATACCTAGTAACATATTTATATTTTATATGTATAGTAACATTGCCTGGAACACTATGACTACTAGGAGTTTGGTATTAAAATTATACCCCCAAAAAAGGCTATTACAATAAAAGTCCACCCAGACCTACAGAGTAGGCCAGAGTTTAGGAGAAATTAATTTGAGGACATTAACCTTAAGGTTGACAAGCCCACTCTTAAGTATTTGGGGCTTGGTAAGGAAGACACAGCATCTTTAGCCCTACAGGAGCCACTGGCCCGGGGAAACTCGTAGGCTCGTTTACAATCTGCATTGAAACTCTGGGTTCTTGGGTGTCTACAGCGCGGGCCTGGCTCGGCCCCAGCGCTCGTCGCCAGCCCCTGGCGGGACTGACCACACAGTCCGAGTCTTTGGAGGAATGTCCGCCCGGTGACCGCAGGGCACGGCGCTGTCCTCATCCTCCGCAGCGCAGACAGGCAGGGCAGGCCGGCAGCGGCCCCCGCCCCGCACTCCGGGTCCGCCGAGCCCTTCCCGCACTTACTCCCAGCAGCGGCCCGCGGCCGATCACCGTCTCCCCGGGCCCCAGGGCCACCCGGGGGCCGCCGTCCAGCGGCTGCAGCTCGAAGCCCCGGGACATGGCGGGCGAGGATTAAGCACCCAGGCGCGGAGACAGCGCCGGCAGCTGCTTCCGCCTTCCACACACCCACGCCAGGCCAGCCCCGGGCCGAGGGAGAACCTGGAAGCTGGCGCTGGCGGGAAAGCAAAGACTACGCTGGGCCCACGCAGGTTAGGGATTGCCGCCCGACACGGGCGCCGAGGACTCCCCTGTCAATCAGCACCCGAAGTCCGGCTGCGTTCCACCGCCTCCTCCCACCCGGGTCTAGAGGATGCCGGGCTTTGTAGTCCTCCTGCCGCCTTCTTTTCCTGAGCTTAAAAAAAAATGCTTTGATAAAACTACTAATCCCAGAAGGCACTGCGCGCGCCTCTTGGCCAGCAGGGTGGGGCTAGAGTGGGAGGGAGGAGGAGGACCATGGAGAGGAATTCGAGTCCCAGAGATCTTGCCTCGCCGCGGGAAGAAGCCACCGCCGCGGGGTAGGTAGGAGGGTCTTCCCTCTCGGCAGTCCTGGGCTGCCTTTCTTGTGGGTGCGGGGGGGCTCGCAGTGCCCGGCGGGAGCGCAGCCTTCTTTCCGCGGACGGGAGCCGCCTGGACAGCCACGGTGACAGCTGTCTTGTTTCCCGTCAGTGTCAGGTGTGCTTGGGACTCAGGCGGCAGAGCCCACCCTGACACACCTGGGGGCCACACCTGGTGGAGGGCCCCCCCCACACACACACCGTTCTGGCCTGGCCCAGCAGTGCCCGGCCCTCTGCCCACTCTGGTCCGCTGACACCGGAGACCAGCTCTGAGGTTAGAGAGGGCTGGCGCGGCGGGGCTGGCTTACGAGGAGTCCAACACCTAGAAAGAAAGATGTCCAGTGCGGGGTCTCTGGGTCTGTTGTTGGGTTTAGAGACCTGGCCAAGGAACCCTTCGTCGGAGGACTATCTGGGATGCCGAAGGGGACCGATGTGGCGGGCGGCGGAGGGGAGGGGGGCGGGGAGGAGGTTAAGAAGGGAGGTGAATATGATCAAAGTACGTCATCGACGTGTGTGAAAACGGCATCATGAAACCTATTAAAACTTGAATAAAGGAAAGAAAAGAACCACCTTCCTCTGCCTCCTGTGGAATCGTTTGACGGGGGAAAGTGTTTTATTCACCAGCTTCGATCCTGGGAGAAATAGCAAGGCACTAACATTCTCCCAATAAGAGATTCATTTAGATAGATAGATAGATAGAAAGATAGATAGATAGATAGAGATAGATGATGGCTTGGCTTTGATTCATTTGAATCATCGAAGGAGAGAAACTGTATGGCAGAAACTTGCTCTTGACTCATGCTCTTGTTTTTATTACTTTGCTTTCTTACTTCCCCAAACCCTCTACAGGAAGTCCTCTGTTGAACACAAACATTTTAGTTCTCACTAAACTAATTTGGATCTTAAACAACCTAATCACTGGGAGTCACCACGGTCTTGGCAGGTACAGACACATATATCTGGGCTCTTTGTAGAGGGACAAATGTTACTAGCTGTTAAATATAGATTTAATATATAAATATATTAATATGTTAATAATGAATATATAATTAATTTATATATAAATATTACTCAATATTTTATATTAATTGCACAATATATATTAATAACAAATATATAAATAAATACATATATAACATATAAATATATACTATATATTTAACACATCCTATTAGAACTCAACACCCCCCTTTATGAAAGAAAGTGTAATAAACTGATTTAAAGTAAATACAAGTTATCCTTATATGCAGAAATAGTTAAAGGTGGTTATGTACCCAACCTTGCTTTCAGAAGCTTGCCACATTCTAAGTAATTTAGTTGTATCTAAGCTTTAAATCCTTAGTTACCTTTGGAACTGAATAATATACACTGTTTATAGTTGTTACTCCTTGCTGATCTCTGTTATCAATAGTTCAGCATTAACTATATATGTAGAGTAACTTCACTAATCTTAGAACTAAGTTGAGTATTTAAGACTGTGTTTTTGATGGAAGGTTCCATCTTTCTCTTGCTCTTCTCTATTTCAGATAGATTTGTGTCACAATTGAGCACCTACAAATTAGGTGCAAGGAGGTAAACAATGTTTACATAAATAGTACATGAAGAACTTAATGGCAAGGCATTATTTCTCTCAGGCAACAAGTGTTTAGGAGTTTGATAGAACTTTTCATAAATGCTGACATAAATGTTTCAGTGAGTTCTTACAGTAGTGACTGTATCTAAGGCCAATAAATATGGTCCAAAAAGGACATCAATCTAGCTATTGCGAGGCTGAGTTTAAACTCCACTACCAAAAACAGGACTGTTGACCTTCTCCTTTAGATGATAGCATTTAATTTTATTATATTACAAGGAAAAATATTTTCATGGTATTGCATACAGTGTTTTAATGAAAAAAATGCATTTTTTCCAGAAGCATTTAAGAGAACATCTCCATTCAAGTTGCTGAACCCCTCTGTGGACACAAAGAGCTCCCAACCTGGAGCTACACTATCCAACCTGAGACCCTTGAGACCATGTGGTTAATGCATACTTAAAATGGGACTAATCTAAAATAATATGTGCTCTAAGTGTAAAACACACAGGACCTTAGAGGGGTAATATGAGGGAAAATATAAAGTGCTCATTAATTATTTGTTGTAAAATAAGTAAGCAACTCCAATGTATAAAGAATCGTTTCCCTTTTTATAGAATGTTCTCTGGTTTAAAAAAATGCTAAGACATTTAAAAGGAGGATAACTAACAGGTTGAGAGATTTCCATGTATAATTCAGATATGATGCTTCAAGTTTTATAGGTCTCTTTGTCAGTCTTCACAAGAACACACAAGAGACAGGCAGCTTTGGTCCTATTTCACAGATTAAGAGGTTGAATTAAGAAAGTTACCATTTTTAAAAATAATACCCCAAAAGTATCTGACTCAGAGAACAGTTAGAGTCTGAATTAGACTGAATGAGTCTCTATGTTTCAACTTTGCCTTTAGATTACATATGAAGACACTTTATTGAAACACCAAGTCATGAAGAAAACTTCCAAGAGGAGTAATGAGTTGAGAGTTTCTGATACCCAATTAAACTCTGTGGATTCTTTTTTTTTTTTTTTTAATTTAATTTTATTTTATTTGAGAACATACTGTACAGAGGGGTTACAATTACATGGGCAGGATAATGCATACATTTCTTACCAAGCATTGCAGCCTCCTCCTTTGTTTACCCTTCACCTTCCTTCCCAGCCTCCCCCCTCCCTCCCACCCAATCATACCCCCCCTCCCCCCCCCCCCCCCCCCCCCCCCCCCCCCCCCCCCCGACATTGTAAAGCTGGTTTTGACATGACATTTTGTACTTCTCATTGTTGCAACAGGTCCACCTGAATCCTTAAACGACTTGTTTGTCCCCGAACTCTGTGGATTCTGAGAAGGATAAAAACAAGAGTCAAATAAACTTTGATCAGCTTCCTCTAGAAGTCACTTTAAAAATTTTCAGTCAACTGGACATTCAAAGTTTGTGCAGAGCTTCTGTAACTTGCAGGGAATGGAATGATACAATACAAAGTAGTGATTCTATATGGAAGCCTCACTGCTTGTCTTTAAGGACTGTGTGTCAGCGAGAAATAGATGATGATCTACAAAGTGGTTACTCCTGGAGGGTAAGTTTCACCTTGGCAGTCTACCATGTTTCTGACAGTGTTTTGGTATTGGGTTTGAAACAACACCAACTTCTGCTTGGAAAAGTTAGAATTTCATATGCAGAACATCACAGAATGTGTTGACCACATTAAGGAATGACTTAAAATTGAGTTACTGTTTTTTTTATCCTGCTAAACACAGCTTCCACACTATTTCCCATCAATCGTATGACATTTTTTTAAGCCAGAAGGAAAGGCTACTTCTTCTCACTCAACCTAATCCAAAGTCTTCAGTCTACACACACACACACACACACACACCACAAGTTTACAGTTTACTAACATATGTGTATAGTATTGTAAGTACTTAATTATTTTCTCAGCCTGTGAGCTGGCTGCTCTTCATTGAACAAACTTACCAACGAACTACCTTGATCATGGTTTACCCCTTTTAGGTAACACTGCTGAGAAATTACCAGAAGAGTAAAGTGAAACATGAATGGCTAAGTGGCAGATACAGCAACATATCCTCTTCCTTTAGTCTACCAGAGACAATCATGTACCCAATGGATGCAGACACATGGGGGGAAATTCTAGAAGCAGAGCTGGAAAGATAAGTGAAAATATCACACATAGTCTAAAACTAAAATGACTCATAAGCTGCAAAAGATGGTCTTTATTTGTTCATATTTTTCTCCAATTTAAATTTTTTAAACATTTAAAAGAGAACAAAGAAAACACCATTATAAAAGGAAAGATTTATTTCTATTTTGCACTTCAGTAAAAAAATTCTAGTTTTACTGTACTGAGAAATCATGAAATGTTTATCTTAGAAACAATATACTAATAGAATGATTACAAAATGTATTACTTTATATATTTGTGTTAGTATATGGCATTACTTTAAATGGCAGAGTTTAACATTTTCTGGTTAAATGAAAATTCAAACACTTGAAATTGACTTAAATAAGATATCATACTTAGACTTATGAGAGAACTAAGTGAAAATAATAGCCATGTGTTTATTTAAACAAAAAGTAAATATCCATTTCTACAATTTTAATGTTTTCCATTTCAGTGGAATCAAACTGGATTATCACATAGTAAAACTATTGTTAAGTGTTATAACTGTGACTTTTTAGAAATTAATCTGATTTTAGAGTTAAAGCTCATCAGATTAAAATTTCCACTTCTTCCCTACAAACCTGACACTAGAGAATGGAAACTGCCATACAATGTGTTTATCTCAGGGGCACTTTCTGACATCTTCAGAGCATCATCCAGTGAAGTCTTCATAGACATCAAAACAAAGGGCTTTTCTTTGTTTATTTCTACACACTTAAAAGAAAAAGAAATTATTCTAGAGAACCCTTAACACTTGACTTTGTTAAAGTTGATGACTCTCTGGGTATCTAAAAGAGTTTTTCCAGGGAACTGAAAGCTTTTATTTATTTCATAAAAACAGATAAATCTGTCCTCTACCAGACTGTTCATTCTGAATCTGGTCAACACCATAGTAAAAAGTATCTATAAAATATTTTAGTTAGGATGGCGTTTTCTTCCTACAATATGTGCTATAGCACAAAACATGAGTCCGAGCAAGACATATTTAACAAGCAAGTATCAGAAAGATGTCCTCTGTCTACAAATTCCCTTTGCTGGATCAAACAAACAATGATTCTTACCTACTATCTTCTTAGGATTGGAAGAAAACTTGAAAAGTCCAGTAGTTCATTTCCCCTACCTTACTGAGTCGCCATAAGAATTTCACAATCTAAAGGGATAGCAGTGACCATTTTGTACTTCCTCCATGTCCAATCAAGAAACAGTTCTTACTGATTTTATTACCTAATATCAAAAAGTAATCCAATCCATCTCTGTCTTTATCTGTGCTACATCACTGAATTCTGACCCTTATATTGAGGTTATGATTACTACAGTAACTTGTCAACAGTATAATCTTTCTTTCTTTACCTTTTTTTTTTTTTTTTGTCAGTCATGGGTCTTGAAATCTGGGCTTGGGCGCTGTCCCTCAGCTCTTCAGCTCAAGGATAGCATTCTACCACTTGAGCCATAGCACCACTTCTGGTTTTCTGGTGGTTAATTGGAGATAAGAGTCTGTGAGACTTTCTTGCCTGGGCTGGCTTTGAACTGTGATCTTCAGATCTCAGCCTCCTGAGTTGTTAGGACTACAGGCATGAGCCACTGGCAGGCAAACGAACAAGTCCTCTAACTTAAACTCCTAAATTAATTCAAGTAGAGATCAAAGCCAGTAAGTTTATTTTTCTTTCTGTTATTATCATTGTTATTATCGAGTAATTGTACAAAGAGATGACAATTCCTTAAGTCAGGTGATTAGTATAGTGCTTCTTGGTCAGTGTCACCACTTCCTTCCTTCTTCCCCATTGTCCCTTCTCATCCTTACCCTCAAGTTACATAAATGTACATGGAATGTAATAACTCCCTTTGCCAATAAGGTTTATTTTATTTCATTTTTATTGCCAAGGTGATGTACGGAGGGGTTTGCCAGTAAGGTTTTTAATGATGTTGTCTTGTCTACATGTATGCCTCTTCTCTCACACCTGCCCCATCCTGTAACTTCCAGTTCCATGCACATTCGCTCACACCTCAGCCTTGAAACAGGTTGTTTGATATACCTGAAATGTTCTTCCCCCTACCCAACAGTGACTCTTCTTAGCAAAACCTTTTTCAAAACTTAGCATCTTGGCCTGGAAACCATTCCTATTCTGAATTAAATAGCCCTTTTTATGATTCCCAAACTTCTTTGCTTATGGAACTCTCAAAGCTTATATACTGTGGTGAAGTAGCTGCAGTATTTGTCTTCTGTCCCTTCAGACTGTGAAATTATTAATGGCAAGGACCATTTTTTAAATTTATTTTTGTGTTCATAAACCTAGTGTACTTAGTAGATGTTCCATAATGATTCATTAAATTATTTTTATTATTTATATTTTAATCATAGTCAGAATGGATAATTAAATTTACGTGATTGTAAATAAAATATATTGTAGTAACAGATTCACTGTATGTTAATAGATAAGATTTATTAAATGTAATGTGTATTTATTAAGATATGTGAGATGTTTGATCTTAATGTTAGTATCTGCGCAATTGTCATAGTTTTCTTTTAAAGATATAAGCATAAAATAGGAAAGTAGATGTATTTTGTTATATATTGAAATAAATTCTTGAAAATCAATTCAGTCTCAAAAATAACATTATTTTACATTATTGATTCACCCCCAGTCAGAATTATTATGTTTGCAAGTTAGGGGAATAAACTGTAGTTTGTTTTTTTGTACTATTATGTTAAAATGATTCTTTCTATAACATAAGCTATGACCACAGTCTAAGGAAGATTTGCAGCTTACTGATGATTTGTAAGGTGTAGGCTTAAAATGAACCCTATATTTATCAGACCAAACCACTAGGTCTGTGAATGTGAATGGGTGGAGCTGAATGGTGGAAGGCATGTTCTTGCTTAGATAAAATACTGTAGTAAACATTCATGGCATATAAAAGAAGCAGGATTACTGGGAAAGAGTAATAAACAATTGCCAGTGTTTTTAAATTTTTAATCAGTTAAAGAATTAGAGTTTAAAAATAAGTTTATAATTTTCCAATTGCCTATAGCTCAAGCTTATAATCCTAGCTGCTCAAGAGGCTGAAATTTGAGGATCAAGGTTCAAAGACAGCCCAGGTAGGAAATTCCATGAGACTTGTATCTCTAATTAACCACCAAAAAGCCAGAAGTGGAACTGTGGTTCAAGTAGCAGAGCATAAGCCATAAACACAAAAGCTCAGAGACAGTGCCCAGGCCCTAGAGTTCAAACCCTAGGACTGGAACAAAAATTACAGCAAAAAATAATTGGTGAATACAAATTCAGTTTTATTCTGCACAATAAAATAATACTGGAAAAGGAAGACAATAGAAGTAGAAAGAAGAACAGACTAAATGAGACTAAAAGTAACAAAAGAAAGCAAGAAATGCAAGTCCAGTTATAATTAAAAACCTTTGTATGCATATTCAGTAATGCCATAAATAAAAGCTACTTTTTTTATTACACCCATTCTGAACTTTCCAATACATCCTGGTTCTTGCCTAATTGGGTCAGGATGAATAATAGTGTAAGATAAAACCATAGAGTTTTATAAACAATACTAATTCTATTGTGCAATCATAAATACTAACTTGTCAAGGAAAGTTTTTTTTAATAATCATTTTCTTCTGAAGCAATGAGTCTTTTGGGCCCTGTAGAGAAGCAGTGAGCTGCCTGTTCCTGCTTGCTCATTTCAATTTAGTATTAATGGGACAAAAGTATACAGTCCAGTTCATCACACAGTGAAAGCCTGGTAGAAAATACATATGATTCTTTTTGTTGTTGTTTAAAAAATAAAAAACATTCTAAAAACATTATGAAAACCCTTCAGCTTTTTGGTGATCTTTTGAGTAAACTGGGCAGTTTCCTTATTCTCAATGGTTAGTTTTAAAACTGATTTTTTATGATAGTTGGTATATTTATTCATCTTTTTTTCTTTCTCAGACTCCTCTTATTATATGTATATTTTAATTTACTTTGAATAATTTTAGACACACACAAAAGCTATAAGGATAATGCTATAATCACTTACTGATCATTAATGTCTGCCATGTTTTCTTTATCCTTGTTTATAGTAAGCCTTGAAACCTTCACACTGTTGCTAGAGAATATTTTGGTTAGACAAGGGTTGGGGGAAGAGGGTGTCCTGTACATTCTAGAATCGTTAGCATTATCCCTGCCAATGGCACCTACTCCCAAGACAGTGTGTCTGCAGACATTGCCAAAGTCCCCTGAGTGGGAGATGTCACTCTTCTTAAGAACCTATGGCTTAAATTACATTAGAACAAAACTACACCACCATCTACACATGTCATTGAAGTGAAGCATTTCAAAGGCGATTTACAAACCTCATGACATTTGTCCCTAAATATTGTAACATATTCCTTACACACATACACACACACACACACACACACACACACACACACACACACAAATTTATATAATCATCATAAACAAAAAAGGTGAAAGGAAGGTAAATATGAGCAAAGTACTTTATACACATTTGTAAAATAAGGTAATGAAACCCATTTATAAAAAAAAAGAAAAGAAAAAAGAGGAGGGATAGCTGGGCACTGGTGGCTCATGCCTGTAATCCTAGCTGCTCAGGAGGCTGAGATCTGAGGATTACAATTCAAAGCCAGCCCATGAGACTCTTATCTCTAATAAACTACTAAAAAGCTAGAAGTGGAGCTGTGGCTCAAGTGCTAGAGCAGTAGCCTTGAGCAAAAAAGCTCAGAGAAAATGCCCAGGTCCAGAGTTCAAACCCCAGGACAATATATGAATGTATGGAAATATGACAATGAAATCTCTTTGTACAATGCATATATACTAATAAAAAAGTGTACCTTTCACACAGCAATCATACCATCATACCATCTAATAACTAGCCAAAATCAAATTTTCTTCATCTGGTCACAGAAAACTATATTTTCAAGCTTCTGAGTTCATACCAATCTGCTTATGAAAAAATGGTCATCTTACCTGACATATGTAACTGTA